GGGCGATCAGATGTTAAATCATCTAGTAACAAATAAGCTCCTTTTTATATTCGCCAGTTTTTACAGAAATCGCCCCACTTCTATTCCTTTTTCACCCTATGAAAGGTTGCTCATTTCTGAGGAACCGGTTCACTTTACAAGCAAAGTGGTAAGGGACTTTTTTGTTCAAAATCGTGTCAGCTACATTTTTTGTTTGAAACTTTTTTTTTTCCATACACAGATTTCTGGGAAATCGATGTTTTCCGTTTTTTACCCCCTTTAGGGGGCAATTTCTGACGAAGCCCGGGGGTACAAGTGGTAAACTTTTTTGCATCTTTTTTGGAGACTACTAATGGACATTCATACCAAATGTCAGCCAGGTCGGATCATTTTTAGAGGTTCAGTGGTATTTTTGCCTCTGACGACTGGACTATATAGTTGGTCAATTTCTTACGGCTTAAGGCTTAAAACACCTATTGTAGATCCGGGATAAGTTCGGATCTACAATAGGTGTTTTAAGCCGTAAGAAATTGACCAACTATAGTCGAATCCGAGAAGAATAAGCGACTGTGATTCGCCCATTTTTTATGGCTTAAGGCTTGACCCTATTTGTAGATCTGGGCTTACATTCTTGTACGTGTCATGGGCTTTAGGACTACCGCACACAAAATTCCGCAACAGTGACCTTAAGATATAAACTTAAGCCGATAAGCCAGGATATTGCTTTAGGTCTACATAATCTAACGGAAATGGAAATAACAGTAAACTTACCCATAAGGCGAGTTTTAATCGGTTGAAATTCACCCTATTGCGAGGTTATGGATAAGTTTACTGTTATTTCCATTTCCGTTAGATTACGTAATCTAAAGCAGTATCCTGATTGGTTCATCGGCTTAAGTTTACACCTTACGCATACTGTTACGGAATTTTGTGTGCGGCAGTCCTAAGGACTGCCGCAGACAAAATTTCTGTAACAGTAACCTTAAGACGTGAACATAAGCCATTGAGCCAATCAGTATACTGCTTTAGAGTTACATACTCTAACGGAAATAGAAATAGCAGTAAACTTATCCATAAGGCGAGTTTCAACCGGTTGAAATTCACCTTGTTGCAAGATTATGAGTCCAATTTTTAACAACAAATTTGATTCCCTTCATTTATTTCTTGGTTATAATTTATAGGTTTGTTCGCATCGCATGCTCCAACATGCTGCAATATGCTCCTATTATAGCTCCTACTCACTCCAATGCGCTCATTAGGGCCGCGTTCGGAAA